GACGACGATGCGCACGTCCAACGCAAGCGGTCCGCGGCAATGGTGCCTGTCAAGACATTGACCAAGATGCAAAAGACACAACGCAAGTAGATGAACATCATTTTATCTAGAGGGAACGAACGATCTACCCGGCCACTCGGCACCGCCAACTTACAGTTCCAAACTCAATCTGACGCATCATGAACCAAAATTAGTTTAAAACATGTTTCAAACACATACTGTTGTTGGGTTGTTTGAAATCGGATCCAGCACGACTGCAACAACGACCATGGTCTACCTTGCTGTCCTCACGAGCGCGCCGCTTCTGCCGCTCGTCACCGCCTACCAAGAGGGCGTTAGCCAAGACGTTTGCATCCTTACGCGCCTCGGCCACGACTTCTCGGACGGCGGCGACCTCGGACCCGTGCGCGCCGTCATGGCACCGTGGCTCGATCGCGTCGGCTTCCGCTTCATCCATGAGCTATGTCCGCTGCTACTCCTTAGCTACGCGCTCGAGTATGGCCGCGTCGATCTTGTGCGCGAGCTCATGGCGATGCAGAAGCTCTGCTTCTCTCATCACGATTGGACGCTCCTCTACGGAGCGTGGTCCCGCTGCGTCTGCAAGCACCGTCATTTGCAATGGCAGTACACCGCCGACATCGACGGGAAGGTCCACGACGGCAACGGCGCTTTTCCCCACCGTATGCGTGCCAACGGGACGAGCATTTTAGGCTCCGTGCACCACCTTGCCGTCGCGGCCTGTCTCGGCGACCACGTCGACTTGTTCCGTTTTGCCATGGACAAAGATGCCAGTATGTACCTGCCGAATTTAGCAGATATTGCGCTGCGCGGCAGTAAGCTCTGCATCGTGCACGACCTCTTTGACCAAGGCATCATCTCCTCCTTCAAGGCCCACCACGTGCGGCTTGCAGTGATGACCGGCAGCACGGACCTATTGGCTTTTCTCTTGGCCAACAGCTCGCGCAGCACGATGGCCGAGGCGTTCGAACAAGCGGCGACCCAACGCCAGTTTGCGCTTCTCCAATGGCTCTGCACGACGTACAACGAACCACTGTATTGGCGCCTTGCGTTCAATGTCGCTGTCGCCAACCTTCAACTTGACGTGATCGCGTACTTTCTACGGTGCATGACCTCCACCTCACGCCGGCCGAAGCAGCGCGCGTGCAACGGCGCCGCAAGCGCCTCAACGACGACGATGGGCCCATCCGGGTGCCACGGTCGCGCAACTAGCATTTGTTATGTCGCGCAACAATAAGCATATAATAAGGTTCAAGATCGTACACCGGAGGCAAAGACGCCATCAAAGGCGCGGCAACCACGGAGGAGCTCGATGGTGCAGTCATTGTACGAGAGACGGCCAAGCAAGTGATCCGCCTTGACCGACGTTGTTTCATTTTCGTGTCGTCTGGCTTTTCGGTCGCCAATGTACTGCGTGCAAGCGGCAGCGACGTCTGAGCCCGACGTGCTGGAACGTGTCGGAGCACGTCGAGCTGGCCAAACGCGAGGCTGTACGTCGCGGGTGGTGCCCGACCAGCTACCCTCGGTTGTCAACGAATGTTGTTAACGCAATGCGAGACGTTGGAGGTGACATCCGAGATGGTCTTGCCAGTGGCCCGACGCATCGTCGATGACGCGCCCTTACGTTGTCGACTCAACCCGCTACAAAAATGATCCTCGACACGCACGGACGTCGACCGAGATGCTGCGTCAAGCCAAAGAGTACCTCATCGACAAGATCGCTTGAGTCATCGCCGACGTGAAGACCCAACTGGCGACCAAGACCTCGCATCGACCGCCTTAGTTGATCATCCAATCGAAATACAACTATCCTCTACCGGTAGTACATGTACAATTGTACTACGAGCTCATCTTGTTCGCATGCGGTGTTTGTGCGATAGGGATTAGGGCTGGGACCCGAGGTCCACCGACTCTCGATTAGCTCTTGGCGGCAGCTCTTGCGGTGGGTCGCAGAATATTTCGTGGTATTGGTGGTGCTTCGGCTCGCGTGCGTGGGAGCTGTGGGACGATCTTGATCGTGCAGCGTCGAAATCTGTTGCATTTTGGCCAATCACCACCGTTTCTTTTTTCCACGCGCATTTGATTTCCACTTGGGATGGCCACGAGAGTTCGGCTGCGTCAGGTCACTCCCACCAACGTCTCGTGCTACGAGGACGTGCTGACGCGGCCTCTGTGTCTCGAACGCGCTGCTTCGCATCTTCCTCTTCTCAGCGCCTGTCGATCCATGCTTGGCGCTCCCGGCGACCGACGTCTCGGCCATCGCGGCAAACGACGTCGTGCCAGGCCGTGGCGTGCGCATTGGCAACCCGACGTGGGATGCCGAAGTACACAAGACGATCCGAACGACGTTTGCGCCATCGAGCCCGGTCACGATCGCGCTTGCCTACTACGCGACGAGCCTTCGCCGCTGGCCGCGCCGCCTTTGAGACGCTCTGCAGTGAGCTGCCGCTGTCTCCAGAAACGACCGCCGCGCGCTGCATCATTTGACTCGTGGGCAGGAAGCTGTCGATCGACATCGTCGGCGCGTCGCCCGTGCTTGTGTACGACCTCATCAAGTCCGACATCAAAAACCGTCTCGCCAGACAAATCCGTGGTATTGAAGTTGCTCAAGTTTCAATCATACACACCTAGCACATGTGTACAAGCTCGAACGAGAGGCGACTTGTTGAGGTAGGTTGTGCGGCTGCCACAAGCGCCGACTTGGAACGTTTTGGAGGGTCGAGCCTGCTGCCGGCGACCTCGACCCCGCCTGCCACCCTCGGCGCCGCCGCTCTGTCCGACCAACGCGTCGACGCGCCGAGCTACCGAGATACGCAACGCCATGGACCACCAACTTCTGATCTCACGAGACTCTTCAAACTTAAAATGATGTTCATCTACTTGCGTTGTGTCTTTTGCATCTTGGTCAATGTCTTGACAGGCACCATTGCCGCGGACCGCTTGCGTTGGACGTGCGCAT